CCAGAAAATATATTTGGAAGAAGGGATCATATGGGTATTCATATGTAAAGAGATATCCCAACCAAGAGGGAATTGTTGTGGAAGTACCTTTCAATTCCAAAACAAGAGAATATGTCATCCAGTTTTGAGAAACAAAAAAAAGAAAGAAAGAAAGAGAGAAAGAAAGAAAGAAAGAAAGAAAGAAAGAAAGAAAGAAAGAAAGAAAGAAAGAAAGAAAGAAAGAAAGAAAGAAAGAAATGTGTGATTCAATAATTCTTACCTAACCTTCCCTATAGAGACAATGGACAGACGCTGTCAAGCACATAAGGCTAAAACTGGCCCAGCAGAAGTAATCTAAAATTGTTTTTCACTTTAAAAATAAGTATTAGTTTAAGATATCTTGAACATTTCACATAGTGGAAACTCTACTAGAATATGCATTTTTACCCATAATTTTGTAAAAATATATGGGGCGATGAAAAACATGATATTTATTTAGTAATAGTTAATCAGGACTCTGTATAAAGTAGCTAATTAGTGCCAGGTGCAAGAAACATCAAGAACTTGAAGGAAAGAAAAGATTACCCCAGCTTATGAGGTACAGTTTGTCCAACAAAGAAAGAATGCAAGGAATAAAATTCTAGGTCTCCTTCCAAAACACACTCAGAACACCTTTTACAAACAATACATCTCAGCATGCTGCATAATAACCATGCTTTTTTTTTTTTTACTTGAAAGTAACTGTAATTTTTCCACTTCTAATATAAATTACATTTAGCACATTATAGTTTCCAAATTTCAAGGTAGGGTGGGATATGAAGGTGTCAAAAATATCTGTCACCTTGTTCCTTAGTAATAACTGATTTATAATTTGTCTTGAATCATTATTTTATTCACTCATTTTTATTGTTGTTGTTGTATTTCTTGGTGGCCTCAGGAATAAAATACGTTAGAACATGCTATTCCAAAACTGCCTCAACGCATAAAATAGATCTTTCTAAAATGAGAATATGTTTACTTTTGTTCTTAAGCAGTTAAAACATTGAAAAACTATGTCCCTATAGATGTCTGTTTTGACTAGTGGCAGATTCTATAAAATCATAATCGAAAAATGTGGAATTTTGCCAAGAACATGATTTTTTCAATATTTATGAATTCTTCTGTGACCAATTATATTCTACTATCAAAAAGAACATACTTTTATGTCACTGAATTGGGAAAAAAGTTTTTTCATAAAGTTGTGTACTGTCAGTTTGTTTGTGATATTTCAAACACGTTTCACCTGATATGCTCAGCTTTTGGTCTCTCTACTTGAGGCAATCCGCAGATAGCATATGGTGTACAAGATATAAAATGAGGCAGGGCTCAGCGTCACAAGTAAGGCAGCTGGTCGATTTGACAGTTCTTTTCCAAATTACTCATCATGTTTTGAGTTGCTGCTAGGAAAAAATGTGTTGCCCATCTCCAAAATAGATGTTCTTTTTTATTTTTAAGCTTGGGAAAGGCTTCCAATAGGAAAATAAGACAGATGGGTATAGGAAGCAAGATATTTATCCTTATTTAGACCATGTTTTTTTTCTTGTCAGTTCCTTCACTGGAAGAGTTTTCCACATAAACAAAAGAACATTTCAACATTCTTAGTTAACTATGCCCTGCAATGCATTTGTGCTTTTCTTATAAGGAATGTCTTTGAAATAGTAAAAATGGCTTTTTAATTGTCAAAGTGGCATTGGTCTAGAATTTTGGAAAACAATAAATACAGAGGTTGAATTAAAGGGCTCTTTAGGAGATGTTGGTAACATTACAGATGAATAATGCAATTTGGAAAATATTGGTTTCCATTGGCAAGTGTATAATGGACTGATTTCAGCAATTTTTTTCCACACTGGGGATTCTCTTAATCAAGTTTTATAGAATCTCCAAAGTAGAGTCTGGAAGGTGTTTGTGGATTGCACTAAGTTGCAAATTCTTTAACTCATAAGAGTCATCCATTTGAACAAACTCCCAGTTGGGGTTTTTTAAAGATTTCTAAGTGGGACTTTCCATAGACCATCAGGAAGTTTCATCTAGTGTAATGCCATGATGATTTTCCGAATTTGTAAGAATTCCAGAATCTGCAATGATTTCTAATTTTCTTTGGAAAGCTTTGCCCTCTCTGCATTTTCTCTAAGCTTTATGTGCTGGGTACAAATTTTTTCACCAAACATATTGGAATTAAAAACTAGCTTCTGTTCGCAGTCTATGGTGTCTACAGAATATTCTTAGTATCACCTGAAAGTTTAAAAACTTTCTTCTGAGTCCACTAACAATAAAAGTTCAAATACCTATAGTTCCTAAACTTAAATTGATGCAAGAATTTGATAGAAAAAACGGACTAATTTCCCAATTATCAGTCTCTTTTTTAGTAATTCAAAAAAATGTACCTAAAATTCCGTTTCCAAAATTAATAGTAGTTGTCAAGTATAAAGTATAGTTCTTCATATTTCTGAAAATTGTTGTAAGTCATTCGAGGTAGATTTATGAAATGACAGACTTTCCAGAGTAAAATGCAATGTGTCAAGAAGCTATTCTTTATTTCCAGTCCAATGGGAATTTAAGAATCATTTCAAACAAGAATAAAAAATGGAAATAACTTTTAAAAGGACTTGTAGGTGACAGATAAATCCCTATACTCTGTGTACATCACATTGTTTTCATCAATGTACTGTTTTCTTTGCTTAAATGTTTAAAATACATAAAAAATTATTAAAATATTGTTTTATGTGCTGGAAATGTTTGATATAAATTAACTGGTAACAATATAGCAGACTCAGAATTTGCTGTATAAAAATCTATAATTTATATGTGATTTTTTCTATTCATTTGAGGTCATGATCTTATAATTAAAATTGATGCCTAAGCCTAATCAAATTGAATTTTGAGGTACTTATTGCCAACCTTTCAATTGACAAATTTTCACATTTAATCATGTATCTTTATATATTTATTATAAAATCCATAAGTTTAATATTTTAAAATAATTTCTAATTAAAGTTGTAAATTTATATTGCTTAGTTATCAAGAATTCCAAAAAAAGTTCAAATTGCTTTCATCCTTGTCAATTAATGTTATATTTACATTTACTCTCATTCATTCCTTAAATTTGTTATATATAAATGATTCTGCTTTTGCTTTTGTTTTGTTGGTCTCTTTTGAGATTTGATCTCACTAATCTTGTCCAAGCTGGCCTTGAACTTATAATCCTCCTGCCTCAAGTCTCCCCAATTAGCTGCTATTTTAGACATGTACCACCACACCTGACTTGTATAAATCTCTTCACTTATATTTTATTATACAACAAGAATAAATAATAAAATACTTTCTTGGACACATAAATAAGTCCGTCCCTGGACCAGAAACTGTTTTCACAGATGCTGAGACCAGGAAATTGGAGAGAGTCTGGTCATGGAGCCTGCTCTCAGCTTGTTCTCTGTCTTTCTCTGTTATCTGAATTTTCCCTTTCTCTTCCATATTTTAGATACTATTCCATTGACAACCAAGTTATCATTCATAGGATTTCTTTCAAATACAAGAAAATGAAGATTAAATATTATAACAATATAGTCCACAATTTTCAAATAACATGAATGTTCCTAGAAAAAAAATAGTCTGGTACTTTATTTTTCAAATAACTTTAAGTCATAACCACATTTTAATATATCAAAATGCAAAATAATGTCTCAGAAACAAGGAATATATTAGCCAGTATTGGCATACAGAACACTTTTCAAATACATAATCAATTATAAGCTCAATCCAGTCTTGCAGCAACTTTGATAAGCCAATATTATTTTGTCCGTTTTATAGAAGAGATGATGAAAGTTTCAGTTATTCAAGAGCTAACATAAGAAAGAACTGATCAGAAATGGCATATCAGAAATTCAGATTGGGACACGAAAGTTCTATTTACGGTATTTGCTATTAATGAAACAACATACTATGTGATAATAAAGTCTGTGACTGTTTCAAAGAAAGGTAGGGGGAAGGTTATGAATTTGGATCAATATATATCAATGTGAGCAATATAAAGATATTAAGGAAAGTTTTAAAGCTAGCTGGAAAAATTTAAAAATTCCTAAAAACGAAAAAAATTGTTATTTCTTAGTATATTAATGAAGCAATATGTAGAATTGATCCATTCATTCATTCAGCCATGTACATATCCATCTATTAATTTACTTATCACAGAATTACCAATATTTCGTTTATTTAAATGTATTTTTGGGGTTAAACTAAACTTCAAATCTGACACAAAAAGATTAGTAAATCAATGAATTTGAAAATATTTTATCAACCACATGCTCATGAATAATTACTACCTAAATTTCCGCAAGCGTAAGCTCTTACTTCAATTTTGCAAAGCCAAATGAAGAATGAGATATGTTAAAAACACAAACATAACTTTTCATGCCAAAAACCACTGCTCTCTTTTCCCTTATACACTAAAGGTCACAATCTATTCACAATAAGTTAAAGCGTTCTACTTAATTTTGTTTATATATAGGCATGCAGATAACAGGTGTGTAGCAGGTAAAAATACTCCTAAAGAACTGGGAGTCTGTGTAGGTTAAAATAAAATAAGTGATGAAAGTAATAGAATTGCTTAATTGATCTTATAAAATCTTATAATCTTTTGTCTTAACCAATACCAAGCATAAATAGTAATTGATTCTTTCATACATACAAGGAAAGGAAAGAATTCTATTTTGCTCCTTAAGAAAAGTTAGCATTTTATACCATAAATCATTCATTTATACATTTATATGAAAACTGACACCTACACAATGCTTTGCATCAAAAGTCGTTACAAAAAAATGGTTTTTCAAAGTGACAAAAAAGTCAGAAGAATTTCTATAGTAGACAGTCCCTCCAGTAATACTTGAATATGGGTGAATAATAATATTTCTGTCAAATTCTACTATGCATGAATTATGAAGCATTGTAAAAAGCCATGCTAAATGGATAAAAGGATGGCTACTTACCAACAGGGCGAGCTGTAGACATTACAATGGTGTGGTGAGAACATAAAAAAGAAATTTAAAAAAAAAAGAAAGAAAAAAAATTATCAGAATGCATGATCATGATGTGTAATGTTACAGTTAAGTATGGACAATAGAGTGATTTCTAGTCTCATAACTTATGAACAAGGATGTCTGAGTTTGAAAAAAACTGAAAGTTTATAAATATGATCCCAAGAAAAATATCATTTTGGCTCTCAGGACTAATAATCAGCAACTTTTATTATTTCAGGTAGTTTCATCACCATTACTTACTACAGTTATTAGGTCAAAGACCTTGAGTTCAACAACCAAGTGCTATCCCAAAGTTAAGAACCTCCTGAATATAACCATTCAAGTCACAGACTAGCAAATGTCATGTCAATAAAAGAAGGCCTCACTGTCTGATTTAAATAGCAATTGGATTTTAAGCATGGTTAGTCAGAACCATTACAAGGACTACAGAAAAGCCCCTGACGCTGCTTTTCAGTCAGTAATAAGTTAAGATCACATCACTTTTCATCCGTGGACAGGGTGGATGAAAATATAACAAATAGGTTGGAACATCCTTAGAGATTTCAACTCAGTAGCTCCCTAACTACTGTTAAGCTTTTTTCTTCTTTTGGCAGAGGCCAAGAAACAATGACTGACAAGTTGATTCTTGTTCACACTGTGAATGGCTTTCAAACTGATGTGCCAACAAATTATTATTTTTTTATTATATCATAACTTTCAATCACTAAAATCAGTAGTAATAGGCTTCCCTTGTTATTAACGCACAAAAATTGTAAGAGAGATACATGGGCTTAATAACATTTTCTTTAAACAGAATAATGTCAAATCTGTTAAGATAGTAAACCATTTTATATAAAATAGAGGTGAATATTTTAAAACATGCTGTCCCATTATCCAGAGAAGAAGAAATATATTTAGCGGCATTTGAACTTTATGAAATCTTACATTGAAAAATATAAGCTTTTTCAGCAAAAATTCCTTTCACTTATATCCAAATGGATATAGCCCTCCTGCATAATAACATGTCTCTAGAACAATGTAAGTATTTTGCTGCTAATCACTTTGGGCAAGGTAAGATAGATGCAGCATTAAAAGCATATTTGTATATTCAAAACAGATCCATCATAATACTTAGCCTTGAGTAATCTCTAAAATAAAGTATAATACTTATGTGCATTATAACACATATACTACATATGTATAGTTGCCTCTGTATAGTCTTTTATAGAAATGGTATTCATGAGAGGCAACAGAAAGAAAAATAAGCTGACAGTAGTAGCAGTGTTAACATTCTGGCTTAGACAAACTCTTTGGTCTCATAGCATAACTTCAGTTTGCTACATGAAAAGAAAAACTGAAGTTACCCTGAAGTATGTTTCCTTTTTCTTTTTCTTTGTAAGGGGGTATGGAGCACAACACAAATATCCAGAGTAAGACAACAGACTAATATAAAGTCATGCTTCATTCTAACTGATGATATTTCTCCTAATTTTGTCAATGTCTAGTAGAAAAGGAACTTTTCCTTTCATCTTTCAGTTTACTATTTTAATTGCCACCTCAAGTTGGATTTCAGATATGTTTCTTTAAGGAATGAAAAGGTATTTTTTAAAGATCCTTTTTTTAAAAAATTTTTAGTTGCAGATGGACACAATACCTTTGTTTTATTTACTTATGTAGGGCAGAGGATCAAATTCAGTGCCCCACATATGTGAGACAAGCACTCTACCACTGACCCACAACCCTAGCCCTGAAAAGGTATTTTGAATCTATAATATTAAAGAGAGAAAAAGAAGAAACCATGATTAAAAAAATAATGTTCAAATAAATAAAACACATCTCTTTTTCACTGTAGTCTAGAATAACTCCAAAAAACTTAAGGCTTCATTGCCTTAGAGGAAATATAATTTTTACAACGAGATCTTTATTTATGCAAAGCCAACGAAGCAATTGAAAAATAGAGGAAAATTATGTTTCCAAATATGCAGTTTGTATGAAGTCATTTTTAAGCCATTTTAAAAAATGCTCCTAGATAATGAGATATTTGATTAGACTGTATATACTAGGCGATATGTTGTTGACTAACTTTGTTTCTTACTAATTTTACATTTGCCAAGTCAGCAAAGGGAGTTATTTTGATGGTAATCTCCATTTTACTCCACTTTATTTTTGTCATGTTTCTGAAATGAAAAACAACTGAAGAGATCTGTTTCAGATATTGATTGTAAAACTGCCTTAAATATTCACCAGTTGGCTAAAATGAACATAATGATACAATTTTAGTGGAAACATCATAATAAAACTTCTTTATTGCATAGAAAATTATTCATGTGAAAAAAATCAGCAGGTGGATGTTTTCAAAATCAGCAAATTAAACTAAACTGTGTCCCTGCATTAAATGGACATGGCCTCTTGGGTCAGTTGACCCTGTTCTAATAAAACAATCCAGAGAAAGGTTGAACATCTCATTTATGTGCATAGAAAAAGCGCAGGAAAAAAAATGTTGTAGACAATTTTTTTCCTTATTAACCTCTTAGCTTGAGAAATCCCAACTGCTTTTCCTAATGGTAAAAATGTTGTTAAATAATATTTTACTCTACATTACATTGTATTATGGAGAGTTGTTTTTCTTTTAACATGATTTTGAGGTTTCAGTTTTAGATGACTAATAAATTCATACACACACAACAAACATTCTAATTCATCTACAAGCTCCAGATTAGAGGAGAAACTATTTAAGGGTTTCTGATTAAAAAGAAAAAAAAAACATTTTAGAACTAAACAATGCTTTCTACTTGTACGTTAGTTTCAGGCATCCATGCATGTGGAGCATGCTTTGTTAAATAAAATGTTAAACCTGAAACTTCAACAAATTATAAAAACAATTAGGTGGGAAAGACCTTTAAGCAAACAGAACACTTCATGTCTCATTCATCCAAGCATTGAACTATAAAAGGAACCCTGCTGCTTTTACAAACAAACAACTCCTTACATTTTCACACCACTTGTTTAGTCAGCAAATATTTTTTGAATAGAACATTTCTAGTGGGTTGTTTATTTTTTTCCCCATTCACTTCAGAAGCACACACACACAAACACAAACTTTGGAGATAATTTGTTTTTGCGAAGATAAATTTTGTTTTTTGTGAACAGCTTCCTATTTAAAAACAATCATACATAAAATCATCTACAGAGTGTGTAGGTTAAATAAAGAGTTTTCATTTTTTTTGCATGATTTATTAGATTTTGATCAGATATAATGAGCATATAATTTGGTTCATATATGATCACAGTCCTTTATGATCTGTTACCTGTAAGAAGTGAAAATATTTTTAAGTAGCTTTATTGATTTTGTCTAAATGTGTTTTTCATCTAAGAAAACACTAGATTGTGTGCAGGAGAAAGCACTGGATCAGGTGAAAAAGGAATGGAGCAATTGAGAAGGGCAAAAACACTGTATTTTCAAGGTATGCAGAATGCCTGTCTCCCAGGAGACAACTGGAGTCAAATGAGTTTTGTGTGATTTGAAGCTTACATTGCAGGTTTGGCAAAAATCTTTTTTCTTACAAGATGGAGGAGCAACCTCAGTATCTCTGATGCATTTGTTATACCTCCAAACTCTTCCAAACCCTTCTGCTCATCTTACAAAAATTTCTGAGGGCAAAGCTGCATATGGGTTGAAGTACAACTAAATAGGTTGAGAGGAATCTGACAGGTGTGAATGAACACTTGCAGCCAACAGGAAAAAAAAAATGAGAGGAGGAGGAAGGAAGGATGAGAGGGGGAGGCACAAGTAGTATGAAAGAAAGGTTTGAGAATGAACAGGAGAAGAGCTTTTCCGTGTGTTTAGATCCCTATGAAAGTGAATAGTGTGGTGATAATGTCTGTTTGGAGAAGCTAAGTGTTCACTGTCAAGACTTCACTTAGTACCTGGGACATATTTTACCTCTTGGGAACAACTTGCTCCACCAGGAAGCCAGTTGATTCATTATAGTTTGCTGTGGGCTTAGTAATGCTTTCCTTCAAGTGTAAGCAATTCCAGTAAATCTATAAATGAGCATTATTTCATGATTAAGAAAGTGTGCAAATGAACATTATTCCATGATTGAGAAAGTGTGCAATGCTTATAAATGAAAAAGAGCAACTACTGCAATTACTTAAGCCAATGAATTTCACATATCACTCTCTAAATCAGATTATCAGGAAGCTGGAGCTTTTCCATTACCCTTTGTTCACCTTTGGAAGTATGATTAGTTTTTTATTCAGATTGCTTTTTTTGAATGCTAAAATAAAAAAGAATTTCTAAACAATATTCTACTAGTATAAAGTGACAAACTGGTGAACAGAAAACAGGAGTACTTTTGAAACAGATGCCATTTAAAAGCATAAGTAGTTGAGACCAAATGACTGGTTTATATCCTTTCTAAGATTAACTTTTAGGCCAAAAACTGTCAATTTTCATCCGTGTTATATTTTATTAAATAAAAATGAATGCCTTTAAATGATCATTATTTGCACGCAAATTTAGAAATAATTTTATTTCAATTAATGATAGAGAGGGCATGCAATGTAGACATCTAATGTAATAATAAAAGTAGAATTTATCATTTTGCTTGTGAGTTCACTTACCAAAAATAAAATATTAGTCTTCTGATTCTGTTATATCTGATACCTTAAGTCTCTTACCTCGGACAGTGAGGGTAGCGGAGGCTTCCACTTTTCCCACCCGATTCTCAGCAATACACATATAGGTACCTTCATCTGTACTCAAGGCCTTCTTAATTCTCAGAGTGTAATCATCTTTGATGTCATACCTGTGTGAAATAGGAGCTGGCCTTATTAAATAGCACTGGTTGATAGAAAACAACATTAAGTATTCATCTTCATTTTTTTCTTTTTATGCTATATTGTACCTAAAGCCAAACACACACACATTATTTAGTCATAAAAATACAATCATTCACATTATGGTTTTAATAAAAAGATCATTAATTTCACACTTGATCTCTAGCTGCTTATCAGTCATTTATGTTTTAATGTTTATAACTTATGTACATATATGTACAATACATAGGTATATACAACATTTATACTTGTGTATAACTCTTGCTACTTTAAAACTCTCAAAGGCACCTTTTTTTGGTAGTTCTTCACTAGAAAGGAAAATTGTACAAATTTCAGTTTCTCGGTCAGTTATATTTTATTATTTTGTAAGTAACATTGTATTCAATTATTTAATCTATTTTTTAGGTAGTGCATGACACTGGCTTGTTGGTAAATTGAAAAAAAAATGGGTATTCTTTTAAAAATGAAGAGGGGTCATAATTTCTTTTAAGTTAACCACAGGAACTGTTAAAATATTAAGACTTGAAATGGTTTTTAGAAATGTACATCCTCAGCTCAATCATATGCATTCATTGTCTGGCTTCCATTTTTAAAATCTGTACACTAAAAGATTGGTTCAAAAATTTTAAAATTTCACATGAATTTGTGCGAGGCAAGTTGCATAAAACACACACTTCTTAGATTCTAAAAAATTTAAATTGCATAAACAATGTAACAAAGCCATTCGCTTTCTACTCTTTTCATATCTGATCTTTACTCATGATTTTCACTATTTTTTTCAACTCATAATTTTGCAGTAGCTTCTGCTAAGTCACATTGTCTCTTTTTCTCATACATTCCACAATTGGATTCATGTTTCCAAAATATTATTTTAATTGATTCTGTCTGCTAGAAACTAGCTGTGATATTTTATTGTTTTTAGGAAAAAAGCAAAATATTTTAGTCTAGCATTTAAAGCTACCATAATTGGATATATTGAACTTCTACCTTTAGCTAAGAGAACAACAGCTTAACTTTATTAGAGGTTAAAATAAACACTAATAATAGCTCTATTTTATTGACTTTGGCATGACAAAATGCAACATCTACGTACCATTTATGCCAAATAAATCTAACTACTCATGCTGCTCTATTCTTTAATTATGGTGTTTAGTCTTCTCTGCATATTTTGCCTTACAGTTTTGTTTATTTACTATGTCACAAGTCGTTAGAAAAGACTCATGCGCTGGTCTTATTTAAAGTGTTATATAGGAATACCAGGAAATTACAATCAGTCATTCTTTGAAACTCATTGATACATGAATGATTCTGCATGTACACTGTTATTGTTGTCCATTATGATCAAGGCAGAGACCTTGTCTGTTTCACTCAGTATGATGTCCATACTCCAAAACATTGCATTGATATTTAACATCCAGTAGCATGACCAAGGGATTGAGACCACAGACTAAGTAGCAAAATGCCAGATTTTAATCATGGACTTGGCCTTTTTCTATGGTTGAAATAGTGGACAAAATACTTAAATCTCTGGGTCACAATATCCTCATTAACTAAATTGCACTTAATATCTGTCTCAATGAGTAAGGGCTTTAAATGGTGTTATGAAATATAAAGTACTTCAAACTGGAACAGTGAATTCACACTTTATGTCAGGTGGTTAGTATACCTATCCAGAGATCAAGAAATACCAATTGAAAACATAGTAAAGACCTTCCTTGCTTCCTGCTAATTTAAAGTCCAACTAACTATGAATGACTTCAAGGTTGGTAATTTGCCATACTTTCCTATTAGGGCTTTTGTATGTTCTATGTTTGTAGTTCAGGACAAATACTAACCTCAGATACATAAAAGAGACATAATACAGAGAAACCTTTTCTGATTAATTTTTTCAATAAAAATATAACAACAATGATTTTGATGATGGCTTGAGAAAATTTGTTGGTGATAAAATGTCCAGGAAAAACAATCCTCCTATAATTATTGAATGTTCTGCATGACATGTTTCAATATTTAAACAATGAATAAAAACAATGTATTTTGCAGGCATTTCCAATTCACATAAAAACAGAAACACCTGCATTCCTGACTCTAGTTTTGCTATTGGTTGTTAGTGTGTTTTTCAGGAAGTCTCTTTGCTGTTCTATAGCTGAGTTTTTTCAAAAAGTTTTAAAAGAGAGGGGGTCAATGTGATGATCTGTAAGGTCTTTTCTAGATCAAAAAGCATGTGGAACCACAATTCTAAGTTAATACAAGATACTTGCACATTATCTTCTTGAGAAAAACAATTGTATTATTGCCTCACAGTATAAAAAGATACAATTGTACACATTGTTCAGAGTACTCTCAAAGCAATCTTCTGAACCTGGAGTCCTCATTTCATTGATGAGGAAATTGATAGTTCAGTTAAATGACTTGTCCAATGTCCTTTAGTTACTAGAGAGAAAAGCCAGAATTCCAACCCTGACTCTGAGCATTCCATTATTCCCATTCCATGTATACCTGTTCCCTGTGGATTTTTAATTTTTTATTTCTTTTAACTTCTCTAGAAAAGCATAAAATATTTATTATGTTACCATGTGAGGTTTTGATACATGTATACATTTAAAGCAGGTTAAATACATTTAGCTCTCTGAAGTATGCACTACATAAATATTTCTTAAAGTCATCGTTTAATTTATAAATGCAGACAGAAGACATGTTAAGACATAACTAAAAGTATAATATCACATTCAAAAAATATTTAGTTATAGTTTTATTTCATATGAGAGAAATTCACTACACAGGTACAGCATGAAAGATAAATACAACTTGGAATCTCTTGGCTTACTAAGAAAAAGGCTACCTTCAAAATATAGAAAATACATTGAAACCTAAAATAACTCTGTAATCTGACTTTCTGAGATATCACCCCCCTCTTTCTTTTTCTGGTACCAGAGATTGAACCCAGGGACTCTTAACCACTGAGTCACATTCCAAACTCCCCCCAGCCCCACCATTTTTTTTATTTTGAGACAGAATCTTGCCAAGTTGCTTACAGCCTTGTTAAATTGCAGAAAGTGCTCCTCAAATTTGCAATCCCCCTGCCTTAGGTTTCTGAGTTGCTGGGATTTCACCTGTGTTCTATCATGCCAGGCTGAGATTTTTAAAATTGTTTTAAGGAGGATGAAAACAAGAATAAGAATACAAACACTGAATTTGCTATTTTAAAGTTAGTTTTTATTTCTTTATGAAATGTATTATGATCAGAGACACAAGTTACTGTGTATTCTCTGCTACAATAACAATTCCCCTTGAGAAATATTAAAAATAAAATATTGCTTGGGATGAATACAACATATTAATCTTAGCTAATAAAAAATCTATATTTTAAAGATATTGTGTTTTTACAGGCAAATATTCTAATATTGTAGAACAGGGTTTCAGACACAGATTGTAAAGAAGGAGGAGGAGAAGGAGGAGGAGCTGGTAGTATGAAGATATTTGTTATAAAATTTACAGATGAAGAGAACTTATGCACCCATGTATGGAAACCATTCCTGAAAGATAGGAAGATTTTGGAGTTGAAAGAAGTTTGGGAGTAATTATTTATTTGTTTGTTTATGGTACTACATTGAACCAGTGGTACTTTACCACTGAACTATATCCCCAGCCCTTTTTATTTCTCTTTCTTTCTTTCTTTCTTTCTTTCTTTCTTTCTTTCTTTCTTTCTTTCTTTCTTTCTT